TATATATATATATATATATATATTGCTCGCTTTTCTTTTGTATTCACCCAGGGACTTGCGCTTCTCGGACCCTCTCAGCCTCGACCTCTCTCCAGCATAAAAGGCTCTTAGGTACCAAGGTATGAGCTGCTCTCATCATCTTATAACCATTGTATCTTAAGACTAAAAGTATTCCCTTGTTGCCACAAATTAGGTTTTAGTTTATGTACGCTGTTCAGGCCTTGATGGGGTCTTTGGCTTGATGTCCCATCAATGAAGTATGATGCCGTCTGAGTGTCTGTTTCTGATATTCATGTGTGCCATGTGAAACTTTGAAATGGTTACAATGTATTGTGACTTGTAATCACTGAATGATATCCGCTCGTGTAAGTCCATCTAACACTACCTGCAACTCACGGCAGGGGACATCAATGGCAGTCTTTGCGGACAGGTAAAATAGAGGCATGCATAGGAAGTGAACGAAACTATCAGAGTTATATTGGATGGATCCGGCTTGTTCTGTTTTTTCGCTTACTTGAAATACTCTCTCTCTCCCTCTTATGAAACCAGAGTACTTGTGAGCATGGGGATAAAACTTCTTTTACTCACCATTTGTTTATGTGACTCCATCTGCACATTCGCTTATCATGTTTCCTCCGATGGGTTGGTGAGAATTGGTCTAAAGAGGCGGCATTTGGACATCGACAGTATAAATGCTGCAAGAATCAAAGAAGTAATGCATGCTAAAAGTCCAGCAGATATCAACAGTAATTTTGACTGTCCAAAGGAAGATTTCGTGTATCTAAAGAATTATCTGGACACCCAATATTATGGAGAGATTGGTATCGGTTCTCCCCCGCAGCATTTTTCTGTTGTTTTTGATACTGGCAGTTCCAATCTTTGGGTCCCATCTTCCAAATGTTATTTTTCTGTAAGTTCTTTGAATTCAAAATGTTAAAACCATTTCTTCGTGCATGAATTTACATCATAAAGCGATACATCTTGCAGATTGCTTGCTACATACATAACAAGTACAGATCCAGGCTATCCAGTACGTACACAAAAATTGGTAATTAGCCCACACATTAAGTTTGGAACTCACTCTTTTACCTTTTCATGAGCAATATACATATGCTGATGTATACGCACTGTAGCTTGTTGACATTTTGTTCAATGCAGTCCTAATCAGATTTATATTGGCCTTTTATGCAGGAAAATCTTGTAAAATCCCTTATGGCTCTGGATCTATACATGGCTTCTTCAGCCAAGATAATACGGAAGTTGGAGATATTGTCATCAGGGATCAAGTGGGTACTTGTTTGCATTCAGTTCATGTTCTATAGGTCTTTGCATTAAGGACACAGTGAGTAAAAGTTACTGTCCTTCAGGTGTTTGCTGAGGTTTCAAGGGAAGGATTTTTTACATTCTTGCTTGCGCGGTTTGATGGCATACTTGGCCTTGGGTTTCAGGACAGAGCTGTAGGGCGAGTAACACCAGTGTGGTATACTGTTGGTCATCATCTAGATACAAATTATTCTTTAAAATGAACATTTTTGGAATGTTATTATGACACCCTAAAATTCGGGAGTCATTTTTTAATCCATTGATCACTTATTAACACGTAAAAATACCTGTGAATATCGTATAACCCGATACCACGTTATGACACCCTATCCATCGAGATCGTAACTAAAATAATAATTTGGACAGAGTCTCCTTTGTACGAGAGCTCTACTTAATATGTAACTTGTGCATACAATAATTACACGAACATTCCAAGGTCTACATTCCAAAATATAGGCTTAAAATTTAATCATTTACATCATTCCAAGAAAATAGTTCAAGATGTGAAGGTTTAGCAATGTTTCATTTAAAATNTAAAATAATAATTTGGACAGAGTCTCCTTTGTACGAGAGCTCTACTTAATATGTAACTTGTGCATACAATAATTACATGAACATTCCAAGGTCTACATCCCAAAATATAGGCTTAAAATTTAATCATTTACATCATTCCAAGAAAAGAGTTCAAGATGTGAAGGTTTAGCAATGTTTCATTTAAAATTTTAATTTTTGGGAAGAGGTACCTCTACTTCGGATAAGTGGTACTGGTACTTGAGCCCTCTGTTTGCCGGGTACCACTACCTATAAATATTTGTATTAGTACCTAAGCCCACTGTCTATGGGGTACCGATATCTATGGGCATAGATACTAGTACTTGAGATCGTTCAAGATGTGAATGCTTGACAATGTTTCATTTAAAATTTTAATTTTTGGGGACAGGTAAGTGATTAAAATTTAAGCCTATACCTTGGGATATAGATTTTGGAATGTTATATGATTATTCTATGCACAGATTACGTAATAGATAGAGGTTACGTATTGAATAGAGTTTTCGTATAAAAGAGACTCTGTCCAAATTCTGTTTTGGTTATGATTCCAGTGGATGAGGTTTAACGACGTGATCAACAAGTTGAAGATCCCANATTAAAATTTAAGCCTATACCTTGGGATATAGATTTTGGAATGTTATATGATTATTGTATGCACAGATTACGTAATAGATAGAGGTTACGTATTGGATAGAACTTTCGTATAAAGGAGACTCTGTCCAAATTCTGTTTTGGTTATGATTCCAGTGGATGAGGTTTAACGACGTGATCAACAAGTTGAAGATCCCAGATTTTGGGACATCATAGCTTAGTATTTAGAGCATGTTATAGTTATGACATGAGAATGTATGTTTCATTGATTCATGAATGCAGAGAAAACATGTAGCTCTTACATTTGACTTATCTTTATTTGATTCGGATTGTTTGAGGCAGACTTGTGTGATGAGTGCAGGTACAACATGGTGCTACAAGGTCTTGTGAGCAAGCAAATTTTCTCTTTCTGGCTAAATCGAGATCCAAAGTCACCGACTGGTGGTGAGATTATCTTTGGAGGTGTTGATTGGACTCACTTCAGGGGTGATCATATTTTTGTCCCAGTCACTCGAAATGGTTACTGGCAGGTGTATAAATTTTGCAAAGTTTGTTCATAAAATAAATATCTAGTTTACTTCGCTTCTGAGTTGGTTAGAACATTTGATCTTAAATTCTTCGAACTTTCAGATTGAGGTGGGTGATATTCTTATTGCAAACAATTCGACAGGTGATGTCCCTGTATCTTTGATTCACAGTGTTTGTCGTCTTCTCCATAACATTTAGTTTCGATGAATTTTATTTTGACAGAGGTGAGTTTGAGGAATAAATGCAAATGACAAGGGTCCTTCGTATCAAGAACACTATTTCTTGCTGGCTTAGGAACATCCCAGGCATTCACTTTTTGATTTGGAGATACTAAGAGTCCTTTTCTGGAAGCCTAAATGGTGAAAGGATGATACGAAGGACTTCTTCATATTTGTAGATTTTTTTTTTTTGTAGCATGTCCTCCTAATCAGTCTTGTTTCACTTTGCGCCAAAACAATAATGTCTGCAAAGTCCAATAGTCAAAGAAAAATGCATTTCTCAATTGATAATATTGAAGTTGAATCCCCGAACCTAGTCATCCTACAGAGATCTCACAAACACATAATTCCGAATTTATTTTCAGGTCTTTGTGAGGGAGGGTGTGCTGCCATTGTGGATTCCGGGACATCCTTTCTTGCTGGTCCAACTGTATGCATTGGCACCATACTACTATTTAAATTTTCCCTATTTCTTAAGTCTTATTATTTTTCTTATGCATATATGCTAGCTCTATTTCAGACTATTGTGGCTCAAATTAACCATGCCATTGGAGCAGATGGCATTGTCAGCATCGAATGTAAAAATGCTGTTACTACTTACGGGGATTCAATATGGGCATTCTTAATATCAGGGGTCTGCTTTGTTTCCTTCTCTTTTTTCACGTATTGTGACAATCTTAGTTTTATCATATTTCCTTTCAAGGTTGATAAGTTGTGTCTCTTAGCTTTTGCTTCCCCTGCTTGCAGTTACAACCCGAAAAAGTATGTTTTGAGGTTGGACTCTGTTTGTATGATGAATCTCAAGCAATAAGGTTAGATTCTCTTCCTATCTTATTTTTAACCTTGTCTCTGTGAGAATAATTTGCTCCATGTTTTACTCTCAACTGCTAACAGAAACTAAATTCTGAATCTGTTGTACAGATCCAGTATTAAGATGGTGGGCAGAAGTCAAAAAAGAAGTGAGAGTGCTGTGTGTACGTTATGCGAGATGATAGTTTTCTGGATCCAAGTGGAGCTTAAAAAACAGAAAACTAAGGAAAAAGTTCTTAAATATGTTGACGAGGTGAGTTTTTCTTCATAACAATACAACAAACTCATCGAATACGAGCTGTCTAAAGAATTCTGTTTTATGTTGAAGCTGTGTGAGAAGCTTCCCAATCCTGGAGGAAAGTCATTTATCAATTGTGATAACATCGCTACCATGCCATTTGTTTCTTTCACCATCGGGGATAAATCTTTTCCCCTCTCTCCAGAACAGGTGTGTTTTAAGTCATAATTATAACTTTCTTTCTTCAGAATTGTACTGTAATATAATCTGTTTAGAGAAGCAACCATGAGATGAGATGACATCATAGACTTCCAGAGACCTAAGCAGACAAGATTTAATACTAGCATAACTAGGATGATCTCATCTGCCACTTGTTGCCAATTAAACCTACCCACTTATCAAGCCAGATGGCTCTGTCATTCTGTAGCATAAAATTGTTGTTCCTTCCTTCAATAATAAAATCTGTTTTTGCTTTGTGCAATCCTTGTTGTGATCAAATTATAAACTTTTGTTTCTTCTATCTTTCAATTTTACATTAGTACACTATCAGAGTAGAAGGAAAATGTTCAACCGTCTGTCTTAGCGGGTTTACTGCTCTGGATGTCCCTTCCCCACAAGGGTCCCTCTGGTATGTATTTGAGTTTATTGCAACGATCTATTAGTACTAGTGCGTGCACCTATTCAGTTTCTCTTCTATGTGCGCGTCTGTCCAATACAATGTGAATTTCTTAGTGCGTTTTGGACACAATCATTTCCAGCTACACTAACAAATTCATATGTACGACATGCGATTACATGTATACAGGGTTCTTGGAAATATTTTCATGGGAGCATACCACACGGTATTCGACTTTGGTAATCTACGAGTGGGATTTGCACAAAGTGCCTAGTACTGTACCATTTTTCATAGTGATTAGATTGTAAAGGGATGATAATTTCTGGCTTCACCTAGTCACTCAATGGTGCTTATGTAAAGTTTATTTTGCTAGGTATTTCTATTTTCATTTTCATTTTCTTTTTCCCATTTAGGGTTGATGTGAAGGTAGGCAATGCATCTATATGAATAAAAAAAAAAAAGCCATCCTGTACCTGATCTGTACACTTTTTTGCTTGTCAATCTAATATCCTAGTTAGCTCAAGGTTGAAAACCACCATAACAACAGTGGCGATACGCACTATAATAATGTCAATATTAATAATGTTAATAATAATGTTAAGGTGCATCCACAGGATTACCCCACTGTGTGATTATATTGGCGATCCACTACAAATAATTAATCATGAGTGATTAAGGGATTATGAGTGGTTCATGTGCAAAAAAATATGAGTACTATAGACATTTTAGAGCAATATAATTATTAAATTAATTGTACGTTCTAATGTTAGATGAGTCCCATTTTTATTTGATCTCTAAATTAAGTTCAAATAATAATGAAGCCAATTTTCAGGCACAAATGAACAATTGTTACCAAACAACAAAAATGAAATAACATCAAGAGAAATCAATACATTTGAAATTTTGCTTTTGTTTTCTCAAAGACCTGTTCTGCAATGACAGCTCCGCTCCCATCTGCCCTTTTAATTTCCAAGTGAGCTTTTTGATAGAAGCTAGTACCCCTCAGTGCATCAGCAATGAAATCGTCAAATCCAATAGCTATGGCTGCCTCAGCCTTCGCTCCATAAACCAACCTCTGTTTGGCATGCACAGTAACATATTAAGCAATAAGATGTTAAGCCTAACACTCAAAATAAGTTATTGACCCATCAAAATCTTCCATCCTAACACGCAAATGACAGCAGAGAAAAGAAAGATGATAGTAGCGTAACCTTAATTCGAGAAAGGTGAATAGCACCAAAGCACATGGGGCAAGGCTCACAAGAGGCATATATTTCACAGTCTGAAAGCTCTACTTGATTAAGCTGTTTGCAGGCCTGATGAAGAAATCACGGGCAAGAAGAGTAAGGATCATAAGATTTCCAAAAGTACCAGTAGTCCAGATTGCCAACACCGGATGCTAAACTTATAGCAAATCAATCCAAACATGGTTTCAATCAATGCAAAAAATAGTCTTTAACATAGAAACATGTAAACATTCAGTAGTGCATTCTCTCTCTCTCTCTTTGTTTTTCCATTCCTTCACTGTAACCCTTGATGTATTTTTGCGTCATCTAAAATGAGAGATCCATTGCCATAGGATGTGATTATATACATTGTCATAACTCTCCAGTTCTCAAGCAGTTCAAATTGAGTGATTAGATATGAGCATCGTATGGAACGATAAAATTTTGGGATAAAATATAAAAATAATTTATTGTAAGAGTGTATTGGGTATATCCAAGGATCAAAATATCGTTTTGAAACAGTCGAAACGTCCGAAACGATTTTGTTTCTAAGGANGTATATCCAAGGATCAAAATATCGTTTTGAAACAGTCGAAACGTCCGAAACGATTTCGTTTTTAAGAANTGGGATAAAATATAAAAATAATTTATTGTAAGAGTGTATTGGGTATATCCAAGGATCAAAATATCGTTTTGAAACAGTCGAAACGTCCGAAACGATTTTGTTTCTAAGGAGACCGAAACAAAACATTGATAGAATCGAAATTCTGATATTTCGAGGTATTCCATAATGTTTCTAGATGTATTATAATATTTCAATGCATTTGCACAATTGTTTTGGAATGTTTCAAGATATCTCAAGATACTTTTATACATTTCCATCAATGTTTTAGAAAAATAATTCTTAAATTTTTTATTATGTTTTCGAAACAGGTCAAAATGTTTCTGTTTTCTAGGTGATCGAAACGATATTTTAATCCCTGGGTATATCATGTCTTTTTAAATTTTTTTATTTGACAGTTACTGATTATTTAAAGTTAGGCCTATTTTTATTTGTGCTGCCTGTATATGTAGGCTCAAATTGTAATGAGACTCAGTTTTTGGCTATTCGAAAATTAGAGACTTTTTCTCCACTCACCCTCTCTTCCCTCCTTTTCCTTCTCCTCTATTGTCCTCATATTCTTATTCCCTCTTCTTCTCTGTTTTTTTCTTCCACTTTCTCGTCTTTCCTCACTACCCTGTTATTTCTTCCGTCCTTTCTTCACTTTCTCTTCTCTCTCTACCTCTTGCTTCCCCTTGCTCCTCCTCTTCTCTCTCTCTCTCTCCATGTACTTACTCCTTATCACCATATCTCAGCTCTCATTAACTGAAATATGCTTTCCTGTCCTGACTGAGTTCTCAGACATCAGCACGAGACTTACCAGCCAACCAGTAGTCCCAAAGGAACTAGAACCATCTTGGTGTCAACACTAAAGTTTCTTTTCCAAAATACGTACTTTCCAAGGTTTATTTTATTAATAATCAGATTGAATTCCATCATAATTGCTACAACTACGATTTGCAGTACATAGCACAAATGATACATGTTGAAATTGGTAGAGCATCCAACCCAAAACTAATTGACAATGAGTGGAGAGACCCCTAAGAATATAAACCAACCTCAAGTGGTCCTAATCATTCAATGTGGGATATAAGATCTCCTTACACCTGCCTCACATAAGCCTTGGTCTCACATGTAGGGCTAACAAACAAAAGATAAATATGCAGAAATTCAAATGGGTAAAAGATTTGGCCCACCGACCACCTAAGGCCTGCTCTGATACCATATTAGATACACAGGTACACAGAAAATAGTCCACATGATGAAACTAGTAAAATCAGTGGCAACAGAAAAAGCAAATCAAGAGCTGCAAGGACCTCTTAATCATATGCTTCTTAACAGAATATATTGGACAAAAACACTGCTTACAGTTAAAGAGCACATGACCGGAATAGTTGAACTTTCAAACTTCTACTTGCATACCCTTTGTGATCCAAGAATCATACATAAACTGATGGAGACAAGTGGCAGCAAGCTTATAAAGTTTATAAAAGGCGCAGGACACATGCTTCCAAGGCTTGAGACTACATGAACTCACAGGCAGCATAGCTGTTTAGCATTCCATGGATAATGCATGAATCTCTTTTTCCACATTTGACTAGAACACTAGAACTCTTATATTTCAATTGGGCAGAAAAAGTGAGAGATTTGACTATTACACCGGGCCAGTGAGGTCAAATTCTTTTGCAGTAAATCAAGTGAAAATTGGAGGATGAGAAAAAGACTTACTTATTTCCCTTTATTTACGGAGGTCATGGGCAGGAAATTGTTTCATGCAAAGTTAGCTAT